AATGATGAAGGTGTACGATATTCTTTTCCCAAGAACAACACATGCCAACCCGAGGTGTCACAAATCACACCCCGTCCTGAGACGTCCACACAGACAGAGTGACCCTACAAACCCCCGCAAAGTGTTATTTTGATTGTGTAACTTGAGAAGAACCAGCAATGCTTGCCCATCCGGCAAAACTGTGATAGTTTGGCATATATAGCGGATTCGATAACCGAACCACCGACCAACCTCCAAGATTCATTTTTCGGATTTTTTTCCACAACATAAAAGAAAAGAAAAGAAAAAAACATCATTTCTTCGGCGAATTACTCACCAGTTGATTGGAACCCCTTATGATGACCGTCGTCGTCCTGCCCATATTCTTGATGCCCGTAATCTTCACAACCTGCAAAACCCGGTCTCGAGAAACAAAAGCGGCAATCACATCTTCATGAGCTCTCAGATCAGATTTGCAAATGTCAATTCTGCCATTGATTTGACTGGTCAAGAGGTCGATCCCTATTTGACTAAATTTAAGGGAAAATTGCATCTGTACCCCACTTAAAGATGGGAATGGCCGCTATACCCAGTCCCAGCACGAACTTGCATTGATACCCCGGGCAGTTCAACTTTGCATACTACCCAGCTTTTCCCCTGCGCAAAACTGCTGGTGCACCCAATCCCACAGCCCCTGGATTCGGAGCACCAAATTATGCTCATGCCCACTAAGTAGACTGTTGTGGCCTAACAGCTGCTGGGTATGAGCATAATTTCAGCCATCGGTAGCAAGCTATTTGAACAATTTCGCCGCTCCTCCTCAGGTGTCGGGTATGCCCATACATTTGCGCATTATCACCACAATTTTGCGGTACCAACCTGGGTCCGCCTCATCCTGGGCATGCAAACAATTTCCACCAGCCGTTTTCTGGGTATAGACGCAAGTTGGCACTGGGACTGGGTATTATAGCCTCTATTCCCATCTTTAAGTGGGGTACAGATGCAATTTTCCCAATTTTTATTTGGGGGATAACACAACTGAGGCGGG